GGGGCGGGGCCTGCGGCGTCCACGTGGCCCCGGTGGCGGAGCGCTCGGCCCCCGCCGCTGCCTGCCCAGCCCGAGTTTGCGCTCGTGCGCGGCGGCCCCGCGGACGCTTTCCGGGCGCCCCGTGCGCGTTTAATGCGAGGGGACCGCGCAAACGAGAGGCGACGCGCCTGGCCTCTTCCGTCACCTGGCTGGGCGCTCGCGGAGCCCCCAGGCTGTGCTGCTGTGAGAGCGGTCGCTTCCCCGCCCGCCTTTGATTTTATGCCCTGTTGCTTCAAAAAAGATTTGAGGAGGCTTGCAGAGGTTAGAAAGCCGACTTCCCCTGACTTACTTTTTTTTTTTGCCATTTTATCGGAAAGGCTCACCATTGCATTGCCGCTGCTGGTTGCTCTGTCAAAAGTAGTTTGCCCACTTGAGCAACGTCTATTCGATGCCTACTGTGTGCTGGACGTTGCTGCAGCCTTTAAGGTGCCTGGGTCACGTGTAGGGAAGAGGCAGCTCTAAAGCTGGTTAAGTTATCAGGGAAAGGCAGGAAGTGCTTACCCTGAAGATCAGGCTGATGCTACTGTAACAAGTGGTTGGGGCGGGGTGCATGTGCATAAACATGAGTTTATTTCAGATTTAGCTGAAACCAAGCATGGGCAGCGCCCCCTCCACAAAGAATGATAAAACAAACAGTATTCTTCCTTGTAAATCTCTTAGAGCCCACTGATGCTCCGAGAATGCTTTTGTTTATTTTTGCTGAATTCTTTTATTATTATTTTAGAGAGCGTGAGCGGAGGAGAAGGTCAGAGAGAGAGAGAGAGAATCTCTCCACACCCATGGAGCTGGACGTGGGACTCTATTCCGTCACCCTGGAATCATGACCCAAGCTGAAGTCAAGGATCCCATGCTCAACTGACTGAGCCAGGCAGGTGCCCCTCTCTTCCCTGAGTAATTCTTTTTAAAAAAAAAAAAAAAAAAATTATTTTTGAGAGAGAGAAAACAGGTGAGCGGGGGAGGAGCAGAGAGAGAGGGAGACACAGAATCTGAAGCCGGTCCCGGCTCAGGGCTGTCAGCACAGAGCCGGACATAGGGCTCGAACTCACGAACTCAGAGAACATGACCTGAGCCCAAGTCAGATGCTCCACCAGCCAAGCTACCCAGGTGCACCCCCCCCCCCAGTAATTCTCAAACCCAAAGCCAGTCTCTAGTTGAAATTCACCCATGATCTGTCAAACTGAGTTGCTTCCCAATAAACTTGTCATTAAATGTAATTAATATGTGATACGAACTGTGAAGCCAAAAAGAATTTCATCAATGACATGAGCAACTTCTTGGCCAAATTGGATCATGGTTTTCCCATAGGGCACAAGTAGAGTTTTTCCTCCATGTTTTCTGCCGGTTACAATGTAAAGGATACAGAGTTGACACATTTTTGTCAAAATTTTGGCAACATTTTAAATTAAACTACATTGTTAATTTTATCCATTACTTTCTGAAGTCTAGACTAGAGGTTGGGAGAGTTTTCCCCGAAGGGTCAAATGGGAAATATTTTAGGCTTTGCCAGACACATGTAGTGTCTGTCACATATTTTTTCTTTTGTTTTGTTTTTTTTTTTACCACCCTTTCAAAACATGAAAGCTGTTCTTAGCTCCAGCAAAGGCCAGATTCAACCTTCCAGCTCTGAACTGTAGCATGTTCAGATTTGCACAATATAAATGTTTCTCTGATGGCTGATTTCAAGCGGCCAATGTGGGGTGCCTGAACCAACATGGAGTGTCAGAATGAGGCTTGGGAACCCTCTTTCCAGCATATGGATCCAATAAATGGAAGTAACCCAAGGCACGTAGGTCACGGTAGGGCAATTGAGAAGTAACGTGTTTTGAGACCTTGTTATCAAGAGTACTGATTTCACTGTAAACTTCTATAATTTAATTTTTGACAGTGTCTGTTTAACCGCGAGCCCACAGAATTCCTGAAAATTTAACATTTGATTCTCTTGCCCCAGCTCCGGCTCGCAGGGGTGTCACCTCCAAGTGGAGATGGGGTTGTGTAAGCTAGGCTTCTGGGTTGGTCCTGGATGTTCAGTTTCTTCCCCTGGGTTCCACTTAGGCGCCCCCCAAGGTGACCCCCGGCGAGTCAGTGCCCTGTATCATCCCCTCCCCCTGAGTCTGAGCCCGACCCATCATGTACTTCTGACCAGCAGAGTTTGCTGAGTGGGGTAGGCCCTCATTCCCTTGACTGTGTCCCTTCACATGTGAAGGATGATGGATGTCACACCCATCACGCCCACGATCCCATGATGTCTGGAGACACAGTCTCCTGCCGGCCTTGCAGGAGCCACAGCCATGTGAACAGCCCTTGGAGAAGGCACCGTGGCACGGGACGGTGGGCGGCGTCCAGGACCTGAGGGTGGCCTCCAGCCAATCGCCAGAAAGAAGCTGGGGCCTTCGGTCGTGTGTCCATGAGGACACGCGTGTGCCAGCAGCCTGAATGAGCCGGAAAGAGTGGAGCCTCCAGACGAGAGCAAAGCCCAGCCCCCACCTGGATTACGCGGGAGACCCTGAGCCGGTCGCTCTGCCCACCCCTGACTCCTGCCCTGGGGAACCTGAGGTAACCAACCTGTGCTTTGTCAGTTACTAAATGTGTGCTCGTTTGTTACACTGCATCAGAACGTGACTATGTCATCATTCGCTACATTTATGCACCTTTCTGTGTATGTGTGAAATGTTACATTTCCCCATTTTAAAAAGTTGGGGAGAAATGTAAACATTGCACAATGAAAACAGCAGGCAAGAACTGTACCCCGGTGTTGGCCCAGAATGCTCTCAGATGGTGTCACTGTGAGGAAACTCGAGGTGGGTTTCCGTTTGGGATGGGTTCACCCCCCGCCCCCCGCACCCCGCAATGACTCTGTCCTGAGTCCACGAGCTGTGCGGTGGGTGTGAGGTCGGGAGCTAGACTCCTGTGCCTCATTTTCTTTTTAAAAAACCGTTTAATGTTTTTATTTATTTTTGAGAGAGAGAGAGGCAGAATGTGAGCAGGGGAGGGGCAGAGAGAGAGAAAGAGACCCAGAATGTGAAGCAGGCTCCAGGCTCCAGGCTCCGAGCTGTCAGCACAGAGCCCAACACGGGGCTCGAACCCAGAAACTGCAAGATCATGACCTGAGCCAAAGTCGGACACTCAGCCGACTGAGCCACCCAGGCGCCCCTCCTGTGCCTCGTTTTCACCTCTGTGCCAGAGCTTCCTGCCTACCTGTGTGTCCCAACAGGCCTCCCTGTCCTCTCCTTTCAAGTGGAGGTGACCACAGTACCTGCCTCATGGCACAGCTGCACGGGACTCGGTGAGGCAGCCATTTTCAGTGGACCGTGTTAAGTGGCCATCATCCCCTGCTGCCCTCACCCGCTGCGGAGCCGTCAGGGGGCGGGGAGGGGGACCGACTCCAGCTGGGCACGGATGGGTCTACACCATGCATAGTGGGGGATTCGGGAACCCAAGTCAGTCACGGTCTGCCATCCCCCAAGCCTTCCGGGAGAGGTCAGGTGTCTGTTTGATAGGAGTTTCCCCAAAAGGGTTCTTAACCTTCTAAGCTACAGCCTCCAGAAGGGAAGGCCTTTTCCTCTCCAGACGCCACGGGGGAGCGTGAGCTGTGGCGGCCGTGGGGCTTGCCACAGGAGGAGCACAGATAGCACTGTCTGAGGTGGCTGGAACCATGGGGTCGAGCCACCCCGAAATTCCCCCTACATCCGGATCCTGGTCACGTGGACGGACACACTGGGCATCGTTCAGACCATTTTGAGTTGAGCTTTCTGGTAGTTGACGGCTGAGCTCGCATCCTGATTAGGTTGTCACGTAAAAGCTGTTGCATTGACGGCGGGGGGGGGGGGGTTGCGGACACGAGGGACAACGGACAGTGGATGCTGGGTTCTGTGTCTGCAGCTCCCCTGGAGTCGGGCAAGGTGGGCGGGGCCCGTTGGCTTCCATTTTGTCATAGCTAAATCCCCGCGAGGCGTTCTGCGTGCTGGCTGCCATCTGCCAGCACCTTGACCTTGGACTCCCAGCCTCCAGAACCGTGAGAAATCAGCGTCTGTTGTCTGTCAGTGGTCCGGGCTGTGGTGTGCTCGTTACGGCAGCTGAGCTGACGAACACACTCCCCACATCTGCCCGCACGCTCCCTGGCCTCTGAGGCCTCGTCGGGAGGCACTTTTGTGCTAAAGAGAAACCGCCCTCGGGCACGCTAGCATCGGCGGCCTGCGCGGGGTGGCGGCCCCACATGCTCAGAGCTGGCAAAGGCTTCTCGAATGCTGAGCGCCTGACTCTGGGATCCGCACGGGATGCTGCCGTCCTGCCCGCCCCTCGGCAGTTGTTAGAACGGAGGCGGGGATTCTGGGCTCTGACAACCCCGTTGCCCCTCACTCCGATGTGACCACAACTACCCGCTCATGCCCCCGTTCACGCTCACGGGCAAACGCACACAAGGAAGCATCGAGCCAGCGTGGGACCCGCACCGGCCACGGTTTCCGGGCCTGGGCCTCCCGGCTGTTGCTCCGCTTCCTGCTTTAATTCCGCTGGGCCTCGTCCCCGTCCTCCCACTTCTCCTGCGGTCAGAGGAGGCTGGTGCCCAGTCCCAGGCCGACACGCTTCCCCCAGCCACAGACGCCCGAAGGCCCGGCCACCTTGGCGCCTCTGCCGAGGAGCCCTCCCGCACCCCTGCCCCACGAGCCTGCAGCATGCCACCATCACCGCCCTCGTGCCTTTGCCCTTCTCTTGCCTGCAGGACCTCACAAAAGAGAGCAGGGTCTCTGGGCCCCAGCCCAGCCTGAGCGCTTCGTGAGGCCCAGGTCCCCCCTTTGCCTGCCCGGCTTGGGCCCCCCCCCCCAGAGGAGAAAGCTCCTACTAATCACCCCGCCCAGGACACAGGCAGATGAATCTTCCCAGACCGGCGTGGGGGCTCGAGGTTGGCCTGGCAGGGACAAAAGCGAGCAGGCCTGAGGACCGGACTCCCGGCCGACAGCCGTTCTCGGCTTTATCGGCCGCTTTTTCTGCCAAACAAAGGCCCTGCCCGCCCTGGGAGCCCACGCTGCTGCTCTATTGAAATCTCGAGGTGGTTCCCTATTAATCACTCCCTCTGGTGCCTCAGAGGACAAAAAGACTCAAACAAAACCTCTTTTCTAAGCAGGAAGAGCTTTCCAGAGGCCTGAGCAGAAAGATTCCCCAACTCCTCTCCAGTATGACACTAACAAGATGCTGGGGCCTCTGGGACTCACACAAACAAGACTAGCTGGGCCCGGCGGGGGGGGCGGGGGAGGGGTTGCGGATTTGGAATGTGACCAGTCCGTCTGTGTGCTCCATAGACAAGGCAGGGGTGGTGAGTAAGGAGTCTCGCCCGCATATGGCCCCCTCCTTGTTTTATTTACTTTTTTATTATTTAAAAAAATGTTTTAACATGTATTTATTTTTGAAAGACAGAGACAGACGACGAGTGGGGGAGAGGCAGAGAGAGAGAGGGAGACACAGAACCCAAAGCAGGCTCCAGGCTCTGAGCTGTCAGCACAGAGCCCGACGTGGGGCTCGAACTCATGAGCTGTGAGATCATGACCTGAGCCAAAGTTGGATGCTCAACCGACTGAGCCACCCAGGCACCCCTTCCTTGTTTATTTTAAAAAGCAAAAAAGACCCAATTAAATGATTTTTTTTGAAAGCGGACACATACGAAAAAGATGAGAAAGAGAAAAAAAATCCCATTTCACTCCAGCCTCTGACACAACCTTGACTCTTAACTCCTGTGTCTTTTTTTTTTTTCTGATGTTGCCACTCTGCATTAACCAATAACCAATCTTGCATTTAGGCATCGTTCTGTAAATGTGAGTTTGGCTTGTCTTTTTGAACAGAAACACCAAGCCATCATTCCCCAAGACAAGTCCTCATTTCCTGGGGACCAGGCCTGATATCTGCGGGCCTGCCTTTTGGACTGTCCTGTTGCAGAGAGAAACAGCCTCTTTGTCCCGATATTGTGGCCCCTATCAGGATGGGGAGCGGCCTCTATGCCTCTGAACGGAAGCACATTCTTTTCCATAAAGATTTAATTTTAAAAAAAAGGGAAAAAAAGCTGGCTCGAAGAACATTTGAGGGCCATCCGTTCCCATGAGGGCAGAAGTGTATCAAAACAATCACATCCTCTTAGCTTGGGAAGTCAGATGGATAAAGATGCAATTCATTGTAAAGGCTTCAACATGGGAGGTATACTTCAAAACACAAAATCTGGCATGTTTTGGATACAGCAGTAGTCCCGTGAATCTAAAACAGGTATGGCATGGGGCACCTGGGTGGCTCAGTCGGTTAAGCGTCTGACTTGGGCTCAGGTCATGATCTCACGGTTTGTGAGTTCGAGCCCTGCATCGGGCTCTGTGCTGACAGCTCGGAGCCTGCAGCCTGCTTCGGATTCTGTGTCTCCTCTCTCTCTCTGCCCCTCCCCTGCTTGCTTTCTCTCTCTCTCTCTCTCTCTCTCAAAAAATAAACATTAAAAAAAAATTTTTTTTAACAGGTATGGCGCAGACAACGGGAAGGATGGGGGACACATAGCATCATCACACTGGGAGATCAATATGCCGTCTCAACCCAAGAGGGCAGATGCTCTGCTTGCCGAAATAACAAACCTGAGAAACAGATGATGTGGCTTGATCTGTCACCAACCAGGCCTGCTCACTCCTTGAAGGTTAACAGAATAAAATGACTGGAAATTAGTCTGGCCTAACACACGCTGTCAAATAGCAGGGAAATCCTACGAGGACAGTGAAAAAAACATACTTCTGCAGCCTTGCCATTGTGAGTTTTTTGGTTTTTTTTTATTAAAAAATTGACACTCTTAATAGGAGAGATGATTAGGATAATGGTTCTTCAGTGCTTCCTAAGGATCCATCACACCAGTGAAGGGAGGAAATTTAAGGTACAGCTGGGTACCTTACTGTACCTATTAGCTCACTATTATTCCAGGAAGAGCTCAGGTGCTCGATGGCTTATCTTTTTTTTTTTTTTATTTAAAAAAAATTTTTTTTTTCAACGTTTATTTATTTTTGGGACAGAGAGAGACAGAGCATGAACGGGGGAGGGGCAGAGAGAGAGGGAGACACAGAATCGGAAACAGGCTCCAGGCTCCGAGCCATCAGCCCAGAGCCCGACGCGGGGCTCAAACTCACGGACCGCGAGATCGTGACCTGGCTGAAGTCGGGACGCTTAACCGACTGTGCCACCCAGGCGCCCCTTGATGGCTTATCTTTTTGAAAAATGTCACTAATAATCGGAAAGTTCTGTGTTTTGCTTTATGGTTTACAGCACACATCAACACACAGGGTTCCCCTGTCACACACACACACACACACACACACACACACACACATCAGAGACGTTCCTCCCACCCCGTCCTCGACACAGGCTTTCTTTCCCCCAAACTGAAGAAGAGATCAGAAGGAGGCTAAGCCTTTGCCTTAACTTCACAATCCAACAAGTGGGTACGTGAGTAATGCTGGCACTTAGCTCCTCAACTCCCCATTTCCTCCCCACCACCCACACCCCTGTGATAGTCATTCCAAAGCACAAAGTGATGGTGTTTTGCAGAGTGATTGATCAGTGTGTGTGCTAGGCAGTTATTTAAAATGATGTCGACTGAGGACTTTTAAGAATGGGGAAATACCATACAAAGTAACGTGACATGAGAAAGGTAAGATACGAGATAGAGTGTGAGCGTGTGTGTGAGTGCGTGTGTGTGTGTGTGTGTGTGTGTGTGTGTGTGTGTTCTCAGGGAAATGCCCCAAACTATCGAAAGTAGTCAGTGGTGAGATTAGGCACGCGACCAGTTTCTTTTTTATAAGTATTTCCTGATTTTCTACAATGAACTTATATTGCATTTCAAATCAGGGAGAGTGTCATTTTTAAAAATGAAATTCAGCAGAAACTGGATTGGCTCTCCGATGCGCTTTTTCTCGCGTATGCCACCTTTTTCTGCTGATTGATTTCTGTGGCCCTTTTAAGTCCCCCTTATTCCATTCTTGCTGTGCTAGATTGTTGCTTGGTAACCATCATTTTCACTGATTGCCTGTTTCTCACTGGTGCTCTCTAGTGATGCCACATTGCAGAGCGATCCCCTGTGAAGTGACTTCCGTCCAGGGCCACAAAACAAAACCATCTAACCTTAATCATCACACCTTCCACCTTACGAGACGTGAGTACCACTGCCGGCTCCCCAAAACGTTGGGTTTCATAAATGTCCCAGAAAGAATTAACGTGGTGAAGATCCGAGGGGCCTACTTTTTGCTTCCACACGCAGCTGTGAGAATCTCTCCTTTTACCTGTCCTTCCACGCTGCCGGTCCTCACCGTCGGCCCTGTGCCCTGTTGTGGCAGGTGCATTTTTGCTGCCTACCTAGAAGCCCCCGCCCACCCTTCTCCTCTTCCTGCAGAGAGATCCCAGATTTTGTCCAGATGCACACTTTGTATCTGCTGCAGGAGAAGTGGGGCCCAGCTCTTAAGAGAGGATCATGACTAAGCTAGGAAGGGTGTGGTGGTCCCACATCCCCCATGGCTTAGGCACAGGTGGGGAGTGTAATTTGGGCCGACAAGACACGAAGGGAAGTGGGCTGGAGTCTTTGTCCCTAAAGAGAGACGCATGAAGCAAAAATGGTCTCTGGATCCTGGTTTGGGAAGATGGGGCCCAGGGCCCCTTCAGGCACTCGAAAGTACAAGAATCAATACATCAAGGACACAGGTGCCACATGGTGGAGAGAAATGGGAGTCCTTGATGGCGCCACGGAGTCACTGAATCAACACATCCTAGGCCTGTCCTTTCTCCTAAGTTCTTACACGTGAGGTCATAAATCCCCTCTGTGTCAGAGCCACACTGGGTTGGCTTCTCTGTTATTTGCAGTTAAGACCTGCTAACTGAGCCAGTGCCAAAGTTAGACGTGTTTGCGTGATGTGAACCTCCCCCTCGTCTCCGTAGGGTGGCCCACGTGTTGTGGATTATCCAGAGAACTCACAGTTTACACTGAGCCTGGTACAGTTACTACTGCCCTATTTTACTCTCCAAAATGTCCCAGTTTCAGATGATCAATTATATGGTCATTGTTCTGGGTCAGCCTGTGTCCCTGCAGTAGTGACATGTTGAAACCCTGCCCTTAGTCCCTCCAAATGTGACCGTACTTGAAAATAGGGTCATTGCAGATGTCATTCATTAAAGTGAAACCATACTGGAGTAGGTGGCCACTAATCCAGAGTGACTGGGGTTCTCATAAAAAGGGGGATGGCCCTGCTGATACCTCGATCTCAGACTTCTGGCCTCCAGACTGAGAGACGATGCATTTCTGTGGATTAAGCCACTTGGTTTGTGGTACTTTGTTACAGCAACCCCAGCGTTCTCATGCAGTCATCCTACCCACTGGCTCTGTCTGAAGAGGAAGGAATCTCTCTGGCTGCCAGTGATCTGAGGTGTTGGCATTTGAGGGCAGCCTTGTAGGAAACGTGAGATGTCAACAGGCAGGGATGGTGTGTGGAGAGGGGGCATGAAATGTATGAGCCAGGGCAAAATTACAGACAACTCTTAAGGCATCCTGACCCTAAGGGAACAGTCTGACCCAAGGCACCTAAAGCTTCTCTGAGAGGAGGAATTCTGCTATAGGGCAGCAGGAGAGGAGGTAGGGCATCCTATACTGTGTGGTCTTGATCTAACTATACACAAATACATAGAGGAGACACCAGAATGCTCAGAAACAGATCTGTGTACATGTGAGCACTTAGTGTGTGACAGAGAGGCCCTGCAGAGCTGTTGGGGGAAAGACGTAGTTTTCAACAAATGATACCAAGAAAATTATGTACGTACACATCTGTGGAAGAAATGGAACCCCTACCTCACATCATATGCAAACAGTCAATTCCAGGTGGATCAAAGAATTAAAGGTGAAAGGCAGAGGTACAATCTTTTAGAATACAGTGTAGGAGAATACCTTCATGACTGAGGGATAGGGAATAACTTCTTGAACAAGTCATTGAAAGCACCAATCATAAATGAAAACAGGGACAAGCCAGAGTAAATTAAAATCAAGAAGCTGTTCTTCAAAGCGTAGCAACAGCTTTGCTCAGAGTGGAAGGAGATAACCTGCACAGGAATAACCAACCAAGACCCATTTTCCAAATATTTAAAGAGCTTCAAACCAATGAGGAAAAAACAAAACAAACAAACAAAACAAAACAAAACAAAAACAGATGACCCAAGAGAGAAATGGGTAAAAAACTGGAACAGGCACTGCATGGAAGGGCCTATCTGGATGGCCCGTAAAGGTTCAACTTCATCAGAAGTCACACAAAACTATTAAAACTGTGTCACACACCTATTAAAACTATGATGAGGTAGCTTCATACCTTCCAGGCTGATAATTTAAGAGTCTGACCGAGCCAAGTGATGGCAAAAATATGGAGCAAGGGGGGCTGAAATACACTGTAAGCGGAAGTGCAGATTGGGACAAAGGCTTTGGAAAATAGTTTGACATTATCTGGATTTGAAGTTTGCATATCCTGCGACTCCAAGTGTACTTCTAGATCTATAACCGAGAACAGAGGTTCTCATGTGTCCAAATCTCCTGGGGGGCTTCTAGGCCCCACTCCCAGAATTTGAGTCTGAAGGTCTGGGTGGACCCCCAGATCTGCATTCTAATAAATCCACAGGTAATGCTGACACTGCTGATCTAGGGAACCACACTTTGAGAAGCACCTGGAGAGATGTGTGCTCCTGTGCTCCGGGATATACACACAGGAAGTGTTCTTAGAGTAATTGCTGAAAATGTCCATCTACAGTTGAATGAACAAAGTATGGCATAGTCATACAGGGGAAATGCTAGAAAGCATTGGAAATGAATGGACCACTTGCAAACTATGGACACATGGTCCAAACAATTTGATTGTAAAATGCCAGACACAGAAGACCTTACACAGGGGGGGCCTGAGTGTCTCAGTGGGTTAAGCATCCGATCCGACTTGATCGTGACTCAGGTCGTGATCTCGCAGTTCGTGCTGACAGCACAGAGCCTGCTTGGCATTCGCTCCCTCTCTCTCTCTGCATCTTCTCCCCCAACTCAAAATAAACAAGAAGGCCTATGCAGTATCATTCCAATCATAAAAAGCGTAAAAAATAAATGCAACCCATTATTCAAGGTTGCACACGTAACGTGATAAAACTCTAAGGGTAAGCGAGTCTGTCCTCCTGAGCTCTGTGACCTCTGTTTGAGCACGTTAGCCACAGAACGTTGCGTGGCCACCCCTGGCCTCAAGGCAGGCTGAGACACGCTGTGTTTTAGCTGGGCTCCGTACCCTCCTGGGCAAAACCGGAGTTGTACTAACCAGAGGAAGTGCAGAATGGATACGGAGGAGGCTGCTAGGAGGCTCTGCCCTTTTAACTGCAGACGATAATCATTAACCACCCTGTGACACCGCCTGGGTCACACCCACCAGAAGCCAGGACTCCTGACGGCGGTCACCTGCAGGACAAGCGCCCCCGCCTTCCTCGCTGGAACACGGCTTCACCTCCGGCACCCTACAGAGGAGAATGATCTCCATCTTGTCACGTTTTGAATCTTCGATGGCTAATTACATTCTGTAGGGGAGGGACTGGGTGGTAAACCTGGCCTGCCCGTGGTGGGTAGCTGCTGGGTGACCGCCGTCACCAAAGGGAAACACGAGGTGTTACAGGAACTGCCATGGTCTTTCTGTGCTTAGGGTCAAGCATGACTGTTTCCAAGTCATGATTCCAAGGGAATCAGGGGTTTTTGGTTTCGAGAGAGGTTCAGGAATCTTGGGGGTCCTGTACTCTTTTTTTTTTAAACCTTATATTTATTTGATCCTTTTCTCAGACGTTACTTATTTTCTTATTCTAGGTTGGTTGTAAATCTCCTTCAGGGCCTATATTTGCTGCTGTTGGCAGGGTAAGAAAACGCTCGCCAGGGAGGATTTCAAACCTGGAAGCGAATGTGTCAGCTCGCTTCCAACTCAACAGCTGGTTGCTCATTCTCTATGGCAGTGATAGACGTAAAAGAGGGAGCAGCATTAGGTCTTACAGATTTCATCTTTTCAGTCACCGTAAACTTCGTCAGACTGTCTCAGCCAGCTTGTTTTTTTCCTTTGAAGCCTTAACAGGATAAACCGTAGAGGGGAAATCCGATCGGCAGGTATTGCACAGCCGAGGGACGCCGGGCCGTGCACTTTTCACACGCATCTCGTGGCCTCCCCACACCACGTCATCCGCAAGGTACACGCACAACAGAGGCTGCGTTTCAGCTGCTTCCAATTACCGGAGCACCAACTGTGTCCAGCACAGCCATGCTTTTTTGTAAACGGCTGGGAGTTAGGCCAGAAGTTAGACTTCTCGAATTCCATTTCCTTCTCTAAGATACAAACGTCTTCACAGATGTGGGAAGCTGCGTTTGTTTCTCCCTTTTCTCCCGCTTCACAACGGGGACGCGGTGCTGTGCGTGGGGGGAGGGTGAGACCAGCAGCCCCCGCCCCCGTGGCGTGGAATTGGTAAAGACCAGTTTCATTTAGTCTCACGGCCTTTGGTTCCGAGTCTTCCCGCGAGCAGACCTCTGGGGATCTCTGGTTGCGCTCCCACACTTGGGCCTGTGTTTTTCAACTTGAGTCCCGGTTATAATTTTAGGTTGAAACAGGAGAAATTAGTGACCGTTGAGCAGATTTGACGATTCTTGAGGGGCAGTAGGGCGAGTCAACCCAATGCTGAATAGCGTGACTGGGATGTTGCTTTCCTGCCGGGCGCTGCCCAGAGCCCTTTACACACATGACCCTCATTTAGTCTGGAGGTTTACAGGAAGTGGGGAAACTGAGGCATGGGGAGCCCCACGGTCACACAGGTAGTTAGTGCTGGAGCCACACTTGAAGCCTAAGGGGGTCTGGTTCCAATGCCTGTCCCCGCACCCACGGCGCCTGTGTGCCGTCGGCTCTGCTAACCTAGGGGCGGAAGCATATTGTCATCTGTGTGGGTGACAAAGCATTTTGTAGGAAGGACTAAGTGAGAGCTTTTGCTCATGTATTTTATTTTACTTGATTTTTTTTTTAAGTTTTTATTTTTATTTTTTTTTTTGAGGTGGGGGGAGGGGCAAAGACAGAGAGGGAGACACAGAATTCGAAGCAGGCTCCAGGCTCTGAGCTGTCAGCACAGAGCCCGACGCGGGGTGGAACTCACGGACCGCGAGATCATGACCTGAGCTGAAGTCGGACGCTTGGCCGACTGAGCCCCCCAGGCGCCCCCAGAGTATCACTGTTTCAAGACATAAAGGCATGATTCTTAAAGTGCACGTGGCAGGATGTTTCCCGATATCTAAATTTGTATCTTGTTCTCTCTGCGTTTATTTCTGGAAGTAGCCGGGCCTCGTGTGCCCCTGTTTTAGGGCAGCTGGGATTGCAGAACTGAAAGCACCAGTTTCCAGTGAGAGCCTCCGAGAAGGACAGACAGAGAAGAGTTTCCAGGAGGGGTGGCCCAGCCAGCCCCGATACGCCTTCTCCTCTAAAATTTCCTCTTTCTACCCCTTTCCTACGCCTGGAGTCACTCCTCGTGTGATCCACTGTCTGCTTCTCTCACTGAGCACAAGGTTTGGGGTTCATCTGTATTGTTGCACGTATCCGCTACCTGTCCCTGCTCGTGCGGAGCATACTTGATTGTACGAAAATACCGTTTTCTTTTCAGTGAGCCCACTAGATGATAGACATACGGATCGTTTCCAGCTTGGGTTTTATGAATAATTCTGCTCTAAACATTCACGGAGTAGTCCTTGACATGTGTTTTCACTTCTCTCGAGCAGATTCCTAGGGGTGGATGCGTTGCATTGCACACTGAGTGTATGTTTAACTTTTCGCTAGATTGTGAAAAGATTGTGAGGACTTGGCTGCAAGAGCGGTTAAGGGAGCACTTTTGGTGACGGAAACGTTCTAAGACATTTGAAAACCGGACAGGACTAAAAGTCATCAGACCATACACTAACTGTGTGAATTTAATATGGAAAACGTCAGGCCTCAATAAAGTTGTTAAAAAAAGGAGACGCTAGGGGTACGGCTCAGACAGTAAGTGTCTGACTTCGGCTTAGGTCATGATCTCGGGGTTCGTGGGTTCGAGCCCCACAATGGGCTCTGTGCTGACAGCTCAGAGCCTGGAGCCTGCTTCGGATTCTGCGCCTCCCTCTCTCTCTGCCCCTCCCCGACTCATGCTCTGTCTCTCTCTTTCTCAAAAATAAATAAACGTTAAAAAAAAAAAAAATCAGAATCTGAACACTGGCCAGAAATCTGATAATATTAAGACATTGTTGGGAGTCTTTTACCGGTGATAATATCACGGTTATGTTTTCTTTAAAACAAACTCTTGTCTTTTAGAGATACACACGGAGTTACAGGAAATGATATAATGCCTGAGATTTGCTTCGAAATAATACAGGAGGATCTGGGTGGGCTTATAGATGAAACAAGCCTGCCAATAAGTTGATCGTTGCGGAAGCCAGGGGATGGATGGATACACGGAGATTTATTTTATTATTCTGTCCTCTTTGGTACATGCTTCCATATTTTAAAGTTTGAAAAGATGAACTTAAGAGTCTCAAAAGAAGGAAAGAAAAAAAGCTGAATTGGCCACGTCCCGCAGTGGCCACTGACGACACCAGGCAGGAGTGAGGCAGGGAACGTCTATTGTCTCTGCCTGCTCGGCACACCCTCCCCCTTCTACTAACAGTGGCCAGACTTTGCTTTGAGTAAGGGCCAGCCTCTGCTTGCGTCTTCCGTGGTCTGCCCACCTTCGATCCAGGCCCCGGGCCCGGAGCCTCGGGGAGCCAGTCAGCCGCTGTCTCCTGGACATTCTCGCTCAGCTCATGTGGGAGGGTGTGAAAAGGGGAGAAGCCAGAGCTGATCTCCCCCCCCCACCCGAGAGAGCAGCCTTGGGGTGCTGCCGCTATTAATCCCCACAGCAGCTGACTCCCACCCTTTTTGGGAACCCGGATCTCAGCTTTCTTGGGTTCTGTGAACCGTCCAGCATCACGCCGACAAATTCCCTTCTTGTTTAAGTTGGCCAGTGTTGCTTTCCTTGGCCGAAAACCAAAACATCCCGGGGCAGACACAGCACAGCTTCCCGGACAGTCTGCACGTTCCTTCCGTCTCTGCACCTCCTTCGGGCAGATTCGGCTACAGGCGCAGACCCCCTCGGACGCTACGAGTTGCACAAGGCGACCTGGCAACTAAAACAGGAAGGAAAACACACCACACAGAGGCACCGAATTGATAGCTAGGAGCCCTCGCTCTGCTCTAACACAAATGGAAAGCATCATCATGAAGACAGAAACATTGACCGGACCAGAAAAGTTTCACTGGCCTCTAACGCACCGTGGGGTAGAAATATATGAACCACAGATGAGAGGCACAGATGTAAGTTCTAAATTTTCCAGGAGCTGCGTTAAAGTGGTAAAAAGAAATAGGCGAAATTAATTTCAGTAATACACTTTATTTAAGCCAATATATCCCAAATATTATCATTTCAAACTGTAACCCCTGTGGAAACTATTACTATATTAATAATATTGTTTAATGTTTATTTATTTTTGAGAGAAAGAGAGACGGGGCGCCTAGGTGGCGCAGTCGGTTAAGCGTCCGACTTCAGCCAGGTCACGATCTCGCGGTCCGTGAGTTCGAGCCCCGCGTCAGGCTCTGGGCTGATGGCTCAGAGCCTGGAGCCTGTTTCCGATTCTGTGTCTCCCTCTTCCTCTGCCCCTCCCCCATTCATGCTCTGTCTCTCTCTGTCCCAAAAATAAATAAATGTTGAAAAAAAAAATTTAAAAAAAAAAAAAAAAAAAAGAGAGAGACATCACCAGCAGGGGAGGGGCAGAGGAAGAGGGGCATTGAGCAGTTAGTGGTGGGAGAGGATGCACGGAGCTTCGCCAAGAAGCAGAAAGAGCTGCTGGGGGACGTACGATTACCTCCCGCGTCCAGTCCCTCGTGCCCGGAGCTTACACGTTGCCCCCCGATCCACGCCACACAATAGAAGCTGAATGAACACGCTGAAAATCAACAACTCCTAGATCGGCCAGAAAAGGGAGGCCACGGGGCAAACCTCGGTGCCCAAGTGGGGGAGACAGCTTTCCAGAACAGAAGTCCGAGAGCAGGAGGCGCCGGGAGACCCGGCGGGGGCCAGAGAAGCCCCCCCCCCCCCAGGGTGGACGCGGTGGATGCTGGCCTCGCGACGAGGACAAGCGTGAGAATGAAAACCTCTCAGCCCTAAGGGTCCGCCCCACATTTCCGTGCGCTTTGCCCCCAGAGGCTCCATCAGGTCTTAACAGAGGAGGGAAAAACATCCCCTGGGGTGTCCATCGGGGGAGGGGAAGCAGCCCGTCTTGCAACATGTCCAGGGGGCTCTGCTTTGCAAGGCCTGCCGGGCGGGGGGGGCGGGCTTTGGGCTAAGAGTCTTGCTTTCCTCATCTCCCAGCCTGTTCTTGCAAAGCGCTCTGCGTTTCCAGAAGCAACGTGGATGAGGTTCCGAGTGTCTTGCAGCCCCATTGACGTCATTTCTTTTCAGCCCTCCGACACCCTTCTAAGTCTGCGTCCCAGCCGAGGACCCTGAAGCCCGGAGAGGCCAAATAACTCGCCCAAGGTCACGTGACTGGGTAACAGAGGAGCGGGCTCCAGAGCCTGTGTCCCCTCCAGCACACCTTCCTGCCGCTTTGACTTCACTGTGGCAACTCAACGCAGTTCGCTCTGTCCTACGTCTCCAGCCGGCATATCATCACCAGCATATTGTCTGGCTGCTAAATGGGGGAGGGGCGGAGAGCGAGGGGGACAGAGGATCCGAAGCAGGTTCTGAGCCGTCAGCACGGAGCCCGATGCGGGGCTCAAACTCCCGAACCGTGAGATCATGACCTGAGCCGAAGTCAGACGCTCAACCGACCGAGCCACCCAGGCGCCACCCCCCCCCCCTCCTTCCAACTCCGCTGCTGGTGGCCACACTCCTGCGGAGGCCCCTCCCGTGCTGAACTGGGTGACCGCGTAACCACAGGGACACTGTAGAAACGGCAGGGTGGGGCTTCCTCGTGTGCTCTCGCCGGAGCTCGTCACCTGGGAGGTGGACCCTCCAGTCTCAGGTAAACTTCCAGGAGATGCAGCCCCGACCCACACATTGACACAACCTCCTGAGACACCCCTTGCAAGAACGACCCAGCTGAGTCGTTCCTTCCCCAATTCCAGGCCCACAGAAACTGAGGTGGTACGTGTTCTTGTGTTTTCAGCACGTTGGAGCCATTTACCGCCCAGCAACAGATGAGCAGCACAGCCTCTCTCTCTCTCTCTCTGGCTGTCTTTTGCAGCTGTACAAAAGTGCAGTCCTGCTCCACAGTGGTCAGAGTTCCCGTGGCTGCATGACAGGAAGCCCTCAGGACGCCGCGAACAGGCAGGAAGCAGTCCTGGGGCCACAGGAAGCATCCCAGAAGGACAGGGCAGCAGCAGGAAGTAACACTCAGCAGACAGGAAAGGGAAGACGATACAAACACAGAGGTCTGGGTTCTGCAGGCATTTGACAGATATTAAGTGAGTTCCAACCCTTTGAGGATGCAGGTATGGACCAGGAGCTTCCGAACTTTGAGGCTTCTCCTCCTCAGCCCCATCTACCTGCCTTCAGACTCAGCCAGCTCTAACGCTGAGGGTTCCAGAAGAAGCACCCTTTCTTGTTGCTGGGGCTCTGTTGTGCTTTGCACGTACCCACCCCGGCCCGAGGGTGAAAACCCCTCAGGGCCATCGGGGGCCCGAGGCATCGCTTCTTTGCAGGTCTGGTACAGCCACCGTGTGCCCGGCACGATTCCCGACTTTGGCAGGTAAAGACAGGAGAGAGCGGAGGCAGGAGCCCGGCCACACCCCACCCTCGGAGCGGCTGGGCCGGGAGAACTTTCCGCAATGATGGGCATGTTCTTTATCTGCAGTGATCAGGACCGTAGCCACAGGATAAGGACCTCCACATCCGGCACTTGAAACGTGGCTCATGCCACTGAGGAATGGAATGCTTAATGTTGCTTCATTTTAATTAGAACATACATGCAAATAGCCAGCTGTGGCTAGTGGCTTCTGAATTGGCGGCATGGCTCTTATCCACGTTCGGGGTCTATAACGCAGGCTCTGTAGAGTTGTATTTTTATTTTTTAATTTGTAAATTAAAGTACTATTTACATAGAGGAAATTTTGCTTTAAACCTTTTTTTTTTAAGTGTTTATTCACTTTTGAGAGAGAAGAAAGAGCCTGAGTGGGGGAGGGACAGCAAGCGAGGGAGACAGAATGCGAAGCGGGCTCCAGGCTCCGAGCTGTCAGCACAGAGCCCGACGCGGGGCTCGAACCCACGAACCGTGAGATCAGGACCTGAGCCGAAGTCAGACGCTCTACCAACTGAGCCACCCAGACGCCCCGAAAATTGGCTTTTTTTAGTGCACAGTTTTGCTCCTTTTGACAGATACACAGAGTCACGCAATCGCCACCACAGTCATCCCCTCCCCCGCCCCCCAAATTCCCACGTGCCATTTTGCGGTCAGCCTCTCCCCAGACCTCCAGCCCCTGGCAACCGCTCACCTGTTTCTGTCTCTATAGTTTTGCGTTTCCCGGAACGTCCTGCAGATGAAAGCCTACCCGGTGCATTTTGGGGTTCACCCGTCTTCTGCAGATTCGCACTTGGCTCTTTTTCATTGCCACGTTGTATTCCACCGCGTGGCTGTACGGCAATTTGTTAATCGGTCCCCAGTTGGGGTGCATTG